TCCGCACTCTGCGAATGTACTTCTCTCCCAGGAAGTTTCGGATCTCCACAAGCGAGCCATTGTCCTGTATGACTACATTGATTGGGAAGTGAGCGTACACCGACCTCATCTTGTAGCGAAAGCCCTGGGATACAGGACATAACCAGATATTGAAAGCAGAACACACCTCAGAGGCAAAACACATGCAAGATGTATCAACAGCTTCTGAAAAAGGCCAGGACACTGAGCCCAAGAGACATTTGTGCTTTCCTCCACTTGCAGAACTTGCTTGACAGGAAAGGCAAGACAAAAACCAAAAGGAGAAAGAAGCTGCATCTCGGATGCTTAGAAACACTCTCCATATAATGTAAAAGGCTCTCCATGCAGTAACAAAAAGGCAGCAGCTATCCTGGTTCCAAACACAACTTACCAGAGTGACCCCCTTGATCATGTTCTGTACATGGCTGCAAATTGTTCGAACTGTTGCCAGCTCCTTTCTGTTACCCCACCACTTGTCAACACGCAGCTGCATCAAAAAAAACACATTAACGAAGCCTTCAGCTACACGTCAAAAACAGCAACAAAATAATTTTGTGACAAATGAAGAGCAAAACTTTCAGATAAACTGCTTTAAGCCCACCAAACAAAAACACAGAGTTATTTTGTTTCTTTGGCAGACTACTAAAAGTCCCCCTAGCTCTTATACTTTATATCCTAACGCTCAGACACGTGAGAAACGCTTGTTTCTTCAGGTCCTGACACTAAGTCTTCAAAAGACCTGAGGTAGGAAAATACATAATCTTGAGCTAAAGGATGCATCAGCAATTGTTATGTGCAATATTTTAAAGTCTGCCTTCTATGCATAATCCTAAACGCATAAACTTAAATGAAATGCTGTGTGTGGATCCACTGTTTTAGCGGACCACTCAATCTTTGTGGAACAGTAGCTGACATCAGCCACTCTTAGTATTTTGAGACAATATGAAAAGTTATGAATTTATTTACAGAATATCTGCTCTCCTAATATAACTTGCAGTTTCTAGAAATCAAATAAACTGATTCTTATCCTCTAGAAGAACCACTCTGTAGAACAGTATACAATGATCAAGCCCTTTCCCTGTACCTGTCACTAAAGAGCAATGCAATCAACATATTCACTCCCAGTGCCCAAGGAGGCCCCACGCCTCCGTCAGACCCACCTCTCTCAGGAAACACCCTTATAATAAAAACCTTCACATGCACACCCGCAGCTGAGCACTTTCGGTCACTCTCCTACATCACCGAGAAGTTTTTAAGCCAAATGTAAAGATCCCCTCTGTCTCTGGGCAAGTCCAAACGAAACAGCCTGCGCAGCACTCACTTTCTTGTGCTTCTTTCCCAGGAGGGACAGTTCCACGTTGATGTGGTTAAAATCCCTCCGCAAGGTTCCTCGGGGCCCCTTCACAATGACCGTCCGGCCCTTCAGCGAAACTCCCACTGCGAACCAAAGGCGGACACGCGTTACGGGCTGCGGGGGCGGCACCGCCGGGCGCCTCCCGAACGCGGCGGAACTGACCTTGCTCGGGGATGTCCACGGTCTGGTTGCTGAGGATGGTCTTCATCCTGCGGGAGACAAGCAGAAAGGCGGGAGGCTCCCTCGGCCTTGTGCCTGCGGGAACCCCATCCACTCCTCCCCCGCGAGACCCGACGTCCCCCCCGGCTCTGCCACCGCCAGGCTCCGCTCTCAGCACCGGCGCCCCGGGCCCGGAGCGCGGCGGGGCGCGGCGG